AAAATGCTCCCAACTCTAGTCACAACAAAATGCTCCCAACTCTAGTCACAACAAAATGCTCCCAACTCTAGTCACAACAAAATGCTCCCAACTCTAGTCACAACAAAATGCTCCCAACTCTAGTCACAACAAAATGCTCCGAACTCTAGTCACAACAAAATGCTCCCAATTCTAGTCACAACAAAATGCTCCCAATTCTAGTCACAACAAAATGCTTCCAACTCTAGTCACGACAAAATGTAGTCACAACAAAATGCTCCCAACTCTAGTCATAACAAAATGCTCCCAATTCTAGTCACAACAAAATGCTCCCAACTCTAGTGACAACAAAATGCTCCCAACTCTAGTCACAACAAAATGCTCCCAAATCTAGTCACAACAAAATGCTCCCAACTCTAGTCACAACAAAATGATCCCAACTCTAGTCACAACAAAATGCTCCCAACTCTAATCACAACAAAATGCTCCCAATTCTAGTCACAACAAAATGCTCCCAATTCTAGTCACAACAAAATGCTCCCAATTCTAGTCACAACAAAATGCTTCCAACTCTAGTCACGACAAAATGCTCCCAACTCTAGTCACAACAAAATGCTCCCAACTCTAGTCATAACAAAATGCTCCCAATTCTAGTCACAACAAAATGCTCCCAACTCTAGTCACAACAAAATGCTCCCAACTCTAGTCACAACAAAATGCTCCCAACTCTAGTCACAACAAAATGCTCCCAACTCTAGTCACAACAAAATTCTCCCAACTCTAGTCACAACAAAATGCTCCCAACTCTAGTCACAACAAAATGCTCCCAACTCTAGTCACAACTAAATGCTTCCAACCCTAGTCACAATAAATTGCTCCCACACTATCTATTGACTACCAAAGCATCTTGAGTGTATCAATAGACCACCAAAGAGAGTTAAGTGTAAGCATAACACATTACCATTTAAATGTTACATAAGTGGTATATGTAACTGTTTATAAACTCTTCTCTCTAAGTCAGGAGTCGCAAAACTTTTCTCACGGCGGGCCGGATAACGGAAAAACAAGACAAGCGCGGGCCGGATAACGGAAAAACAAGACGAGCGCGGGCCGGATAACGGAAAAACAAGACGAGCGCGGGCCGGATAATCATCTTGTACAATACTTGCAAGCCAGAGCTAAAGCTCTGAGTGTGGAGGGGGGGGGGTGTGAACGAAAAACTTAGTTTTCTATTCCATGTTAATCATGGTGGAATGGCGTGAAATGCAAAAAAGCAAAGACAACCCACATTTTTATTTACTACAAAAGTTAGCAAAGAAGGCGACATTAGCAAAACGATAGTTCCATCAGACCTTTGCACACATATTCGAATCTCACAAACTAGGAAACAAAAAATGTTAGTGAGATTTGTGAAAGTGACGTTTGGCTTTCAGTATATCATCAATTTTTGATTTGGAATAGCTGCATGCAATCAAAAGAATTGTTTTCAAATGTTCATCAATCCAGCTCGTTTGATGTGTTGACTTGACATACTTTATTTTTGAAAAAAGTTTGTTTACATACATAACTTGTCCCATAAATGCAACAAGGGGATGCCAACTCTTCCGTTATCTCAAAGTCCAAATTGACACCACAAATAAACACGAGAAATTGTGAGATATCAATTGTCTCATCCGGTGCCAGAGAATACCACAGCAAGTTCCAAGCTGTCTCACGCTTCTGTAGCACTACATTCTTTCCAAGTTCAACTATTCTTCGCAAAACTGAAGTTGTCAGTTTGGCTGTTGGTTGAAACCGTGACGACTACGATTTTAATGTCCATGTATGCTTCCAAAACTCCTCTTCCTTCTACCTATTTACAGTTTGTGATAGTTAACAGGTTATAATATGTTAGCGGAAATAGGCTTAATGGAAATTGATTCTTATTGTATATATTTTTTTTAAAAATAAGCTTTTTCTAAGCTAGTTGCTAGGTTTCTAAATCATGCCATCGTTTGTTAAATAATTCTTATTTAAATACATCTTGTTTTATGCTCATCTGACTTCGAGTTTGAACCACGTTAAACTTCAACAGTAACTTTAATTTTTACCTGTGATAGACCGCGATAATGTGACCTGTAAGTCCACTCAGTATCAATTAATATCAATACCAAATACACATCAGCGAAACAAAGTGGCCGCAAATTGTTCTAGAAACGTCGATCCCAACTTTTAGTAGTTAAGTTTTTGGACGCCAGCTTAACTCGAACCCAAGAGCGACTGCAATGTCTCTATTGTAATTTTATTTATTACAAATATTGTATGTTAATTTATTTATTATTAAGATACCGCATTGCATGATTCTGAGACGACATTGTGCGATTTTAGAGCACGAGGGTAAACGGATCTGCAATAAACAAGAAAATCTCGAGACAATCATTTAAATTATAAAATGGTAAAGTTAAGGCGCATGGCAGCCAGGAGATCTCCGCATGAGTGAAGATCTCATAGTATTTTAAACATAGTATTCAAATTTAGGATTAACGGTGTATGAGATTACGTGGTCCACGTTTAGATTATTGAAACGATAGTACAGCTCTTGTATATACAAATCAAACTTTCTAGAGATTCTCATGCTAACAGTATTCACATACCCTACAACTGGCACTATCAATGTCGTTGATACAAAAAAGAATCAGTTCAACTTTAAATCGCAACTATATTTTTTAAAATTATTATTAGCACTCCAAAGAAACCCTGGCTTGTAAGCATGACTCATAGATACTCATCAGTTCTATGCTAATGAGATAACCCTTATTTGACCTGGTCGTGCTGATGTCCGTATCCGCAATCACGATGAGCAACTGCGCCACTTGACGTGGACTTTGTGTACGTATAAATAGGGACGCAGCCAGTTAGCCAAAGAGTAATTTAAGAGAAGCAGGGAAAACACAATCACACGAACGTACACGTGACGAAAGGGGAAGAGAATTAAGCGTTGACACAACTATAGAACCGCAAGCACTATTGAAGTCATCATCTCACGTGCAAGACGGTTCCAGCTTTCGCTTTCTGAAACACCCGACAATCTTAGGATCTCTTTAAAAATGCTACAAATGTGTTCTGATCACAAGCTTATCATTGCTGTTTTGGTAAGTTAATGAGTTAATGTTTTTTTAATAATTGATGGACTAATATTCTTATTGCCCTGTCTGTTAATTCAATTTTAACATACCTTGTTCTAATATTTAATTTTTATTTTATTTTTTTAATTGAAACACTAAACAGACAATACCAGAATATATTATTTTAACTTAAAGCCGATTCGTTGAATTTTTGCTTTTCTTTTTTTCTTTTTTTTTAAAGTGACTAGTAATTAATCAATTGTTTTGGTTGCTGTTATGTTAGGTCGTGATTTTGGTGAAGGAAGTGGCGCCAGCTACCATGGATGAACTCATTGCTGGAGCGGCGGAGTCGAAGGAAGGCTTCGACCTGGCTGATATAGACGCAAAGACCGTATGGCAAGAGTTGGACATGGTGCTGACGCTAGAGCAGTACAGAGCCTTACAGGTGGGTTAGATTATAGGACTGGTTATTTTTATAACACTGGTTACATTGTAACACTGATAATGTTATAATAACGGTTATATTATACCACTGGTAATATTGAAGCACTGGTAATATTTTGACACTGGTAATACTATAACACTGTTTAAATTTTAACACTGTTTATTTTATAACACTGGTTATTTTATAACACTGGTTATTTTATAACACTGGTTATTTTATAATACTGGTTATTTTATAACACTGGTTACGTGATGAAATTTTGACATGAAATTAAGAAGTCAGTGATAATGAAGAAATTAGATTGTGAATATGGACGATTTGTAAACAAGATTTTCATTATGAAACATGTCTGACACCTAGATGGATTTAATTGAATCATTTTGATTTGGCAGAATTGAAATGTTCCCCCCCCCCCTAAAATATTTAGGCTTTACACCATTCTAAGGCTGGTAGACTTCGATTAGAACTGCTTTACGTATGTGTATAAAATCTTATTTTATATCTCCCAGGACCTAAAACAAGGCGCAGCTTCTGATTCGTCAAGACATAAGCGTAAAGCCTTGTTGGCCGAGTCGTATCGCTGGACAAACAAAGTGATCCCATACAAGATAGTCCCTAATGTTTTCAATCCCAACGACATGAGAGAAATAAGACGAGCGATTGACGAATGGCAGAATTATACATGTATTAATTTCAAAGAGGCCACACGCAGCGATAGAAACTTCGTCAGTATTGACAACGGAAATGGGTGCTACTCTAACGTAGGTATGATCGGGGGTCCTCAAACCCTGGGCCTCGCTGGGGGCTGTCGTTTCAAAGGAATCATTGTCCACGAGCTGGGGCATGCTGTCGGGTTTCACCACGAGCAGAACCGCCCTGACCGCGATGATCACGTGACCATCATCAGGCAAAACATCCCGAATAATTTGTTCTACAACTTCCAAAAATATCCCTGGACGGCAGTCACCACTTTAGAAGTCCCGTACGACTACAAGAGCGTCATGCATTACGGGGGCACCGCTTTCACTATCAATGGTCAGGCTACCATTAAAACAAATGACCCTGCTTACCAAAACGTGATCGGAAACAGAGTGGGCCTTAGCTTTTTTGACATCAAACTGGCCAATCTCATGTATAAATGTAACTCGGGCTGTCCAGTCAACAAGGTGTGCCCCAGCCCTGGGTTCGTCGGGAAAGATTGCAACTGCTGGTGCCCGGGCTCCCCCGTCAAACTTTGCGGTAATGACGTCATGGTTCCCGCCACCACGATCACCCCGTCCACCGTCAGAACGACCCCCAGATCCACCTGCGCCGACCTGAATAGGTCCTGCCCTGCTTGGGCGAAGGCGGGCTACTGTCTGCAGAACACGTACGTGAAGACCTACTGCAAGAAGTCTTGCGGGACGTGCGGGTCGGCGCCCTCGGGCACCGTGACGAAGTGCGCGGACTTGAACACGCGATGCGTGGAGTGGAGAAACGAAGGCTACTGCAAGGGTCCCTATGAGGTGTTCATGAACACGAACTGCGCCAAGGCATGCAGGACGTGCGCCAAGTCTCATCGCGACAACACCGGCTCTACGTCACTGCAGGTAGAAACCGGGGGGGAAGGAAACGGGGTGCTGGGGCTGTGCGGCAGTGTTGTGATTGTTATGTTGACCACAATTATCACAGTGTTGTGAATCTGATGAAAGTGGTTTGATTGATTGGCGTCAAACAAAACCAAAAAAAAAAAAGAAGAAAAAAAGAAGAATAAATATTGCAATTTATAAAAAAAATTATATTAATGCTCTCAATGAAGATTTTTTTTTTTTTTTAATGTGACAAAATTATTGTTAAATTAAGCAGTATTTTGTAAAATGTATAGAAATATTGTGTAAGAATAGCAACTAAGTATGCGTTGCTTATAGAAATCATGTGTAAGAATAGCAACTAATTATGTGATGTCTGGAAATAATGTCTACAAATAGCAACTAATTATGTGATGTCTGGAAATAATGTGTACAAATAGCAACTAATTATGTGATTCTATTGAAATAATGGGGACGAATAGAAACTAATTGTGTGATGTTCTTGAAATAATGTGTACAAATAGCAACTAATTATGTGATGTATATAGAAAAAATGGGTACTAATTGCAACTAAATATGTGATGTTTATTGAGCTAATATCACTGAGTTGAAGAAAACCATATATATATTTTTTTTTTTAAATGGCTGTTTGTGTTTTGATAAGTTCAAATCATATATGTTAAGAAAATGGATGACTGGGTGTGAAAGGGGAGAGAACAAGACTAATTCACCTTTTAGATATTTTTGAGTGAACTGTTTAAGACTGTAAGAGTTGGGTGTCCTTCTGTTTGATGTAGTTATTTACTCATGGCTTGGTAAATTGTGAAGATTTAAATAGATTAATGAAAAATGGTCATGTGATTTTTTTTGCAACAATGACAATGTTTATTTATTTTTTATTTTTTTTATTGTATATAAAATATGTGGATAGATATTATAAATTGAATGATAACCAAAAACTAAATTTGTAGAAATAAATGGAATAAATATTATTTTGCCTACAATTACTGTTTTTTTTTGTTATTTTTTTTGTTGCTTGATTTGAATATGTAAATATCCATAAATATGAAAGTAAAGTACTCCTACTGACTTACTGATCACGAGATCTGAGGAACAGCAAGTCCTATGAAGTTGATTTTTTCAAAGGAGACTCGTCGTATCGTTCATACGGGTGTGAGACATTTTTTTTTTTAATTTTTACTTTTACCTTTTTTTTTGGCCTTTAAGGGGGTTGGGGGGTATTTTTTCAAAGGAGACTCGTCGTATCGTTCATACGGGTGTGAGACATTTTTTTTTTAATTTTTACTTTTACCTTTTTTTTTGGCCTTTAAGGGGGTTGGGGGGTGGGGGTGGGGGTGAGTGGGGAGTGGGGGGGGGTGTCAATTTTTAGGTAGCCTCAAATGACCAATGTCCGCACCATGGATCCGTTATGTTTGTGTTGTTTTTTTTTATTTTTTGGTTAATGCTTTGGAATGTTGGCTTTCTTTAATGAACGTTTTATGGTGTCGAGATTAAATGAGAAGATTTTGTCGCTATAACTTCGGTGATGACGTTTTCAAAGTTTGTGCTTTTAGAAATCTATACATAAAAGCGAAATGTAACTCACAAACTAAATGTAAATGATCACCAGATCTGAAGAATAATCAATCCTATGAATTTGATTTTGTCCATGGTGAGTCCTCTTACACTGACATGTGTTGTTTGTATTTAAATTCAACTTATAGCTGGTCTAAAATGACCAAAATCCGATATAAATAGAAGTGCTTTCTTCCGTAATATATACGTTTTTTTTTACGTTTTACTTTGTAATCATATTTTTAAGTATTTGGAAATGCCTTTAAACATGCGTTCCTTTATTTTTGGAATGGTGCGCATGCAAAAAGAATATTTTACTTAAGTTCATAAACCACCTATCTAAGGTTAAAAATAGCCAATTAATGTAAAGCACTTCTGAATAAATTTGGATTATTCTGTTGAATTCTCTAAAAAATGTTTAAGCAATTTTCTAATGTCCAACCCGCTTTTGTGCAGCTGAATTGTTAAATTAATTTTTTTTTTTTTAATTTACTTGCGATATTAAAAAAAAAAAGAATCTCATTTAGCGAAATTATCGGCGAATCATTTTTCGTGATGCCAGTGGCATCATCTTCCAGTTATCTTCCCATTGAAAAACAGGAAAAAACGGATTTTGGGAGTTTGTTGGTGGGGCTGAAAATGTGAAAGAATGTGTTGTCTCTGGCACAGTCTGTGTGTCAAGTTTCAGCTCGATAGGTTGACGGGAAGTGGGTCAGCTAGCCGTCCAACGATGTTGCCACTCAGCCAGAAACACATGAACAAAAGCGAAGTTGTTATAAAAGATTTAACTATAGGATACTAACAAATGAGCGACATCTCCCTATGGCTTGACCAGTTGGTTAGAAAGTTTCTTGTGTTTTTATTTCAATGCTTTTTCGTTTGCGTGTTTTAAAAAGAACAGGGATGATTGGAGTCAGTGGCGTAATAATGGAGGTGCGGAGGTGACGTTCCACCCCTGGCAGCACCTTTTCATTTTAGGGAAAGGGGGGGGGGGGATTTTTGCCAACTCCAGTGTTTTTTTTGTATTGAGCGATACACACCCCCCCCCCCCCCCCATTCCTTTTTGGACTGCCCTAATCCTAGCTTCGCCACTTATTGTGATGACAACTTGAGTGGGTTGACAGACCCTTTTAAACGTCAAGTGTGAAAAGTTCAAAGTGGCAACTGACTTAAGCGTGGCTTTTTCTTTCCCCAATTATGAAATGTAATGTATGCAATAAATTTAACTTTGATTCTTGTCTGTCGGTATGTTCTTTTCAAATTATTTCTTGAAAAATGAGAAAATAAAAAACGTTTCTTTGCTAATCACATTTCAAAAACATTTGATTAAGATTTTTTTTTTTTAAATTGTGAATGTAAGTGTTTTGCATTTTTAAAGGTGCTGAGCTTCCTGTTATACGTGAATGAAGTAATAATGGCATACCATTAATTCAGATGATGGAGAATTACGTGCAGAGTTGTACGCCGAAGGAAAGAAAGAAAGAAAAAGAATAAGGACGATGGGTTTGGCTCTGCTCCCTTGCAGGTTACTAAACGAATGGAGCATTTCAATCGGCGTGATGATTGACAGGATGCTTGTTTGAATAAAAACTAAATCAAAAGAATTTAATTGTTATTTAAGATTGCTTTCCACCAACCTCACCCCCCCAAAGAACTGGATGCGACCAGGCGATGCACCAATCCCTACCCCCCTCCCCTTATCTGATGTGTGCACGGTCCGTTATATGTTAGCACCAATCAACCACAACACCCTGAACCTCAGTCTAACCCTAACCCAAACCCTAACCCAAACCCTAACCCTAACCCAAACCCTAACCCTAACCCCGTAGTGAAACACCGAAGGCATTTTTTCTATATCTAAATATATTTATAAGCTTGAGACATTAGTCTCAATACCCAAAATATCTATGATTCCCTCCATTTAATGCTTTCAGTTTAAGCGACTGAAGATTCCTGTCAACGTCCGCGTTTGCCATGACAGTAAACACAGCTCAGGGGTCAAAGGTCAAGGGTTGAATTTTAATTGGCTGGAGTGGATTTAACGAATGACTCAGCTGAAGCACAATTTTGTTGTTTTTTTTTTTTTTTATAAACAGTAAATATGATGGATATATTTATTTGACGATTTTCAGAACTAAGGACGGTCATGAAGAAAACTTACCCCACGTTTAATCTTTAAATGTCAAGTTGATCACAGAATGTGAAATGTGTTGTTAAATTTTAATTGGCTGTAGTGTATTTAACGAATGACTCAGCTGAAGCACAATTTTGTTGTTTTTTTTTTTTTTTATAAACAGTAAATATGATGGATATATTCAGTTGACGATCTTCAGAACTAAGGACGTGCATGAAGAAAACTTACCCAACGTTTAATCTTGAAAGGTCAAGTTGATCACAGAATGTGAAATGTGTTGCCATCACCTCAAACATAATCCCTCATTTTTACAAGTATTTTTTGTTTTTTTTTGTTTTTGGAAACGGTGTTATAAAAAAGTGTTAACTTGGCCTAACCTCTTTACGGTCGTTAAGTCCGGATCTGTCGGGCATCTTCAAAAGTAAATGGCGACTACAGGGCCATACATACAACAGCAATGGAAGAGAACAATGTTCCGGAAAGACAGAAATTGAATGTTGTGACTCATGCGGACGTAAGACGAAATGATTCCAGATGGGTTTAAATATAGGACAGTTCTATCGGACCCTTTTTTTTCCGTATTCTTCTTAACAGGTGTTCAATCACATATCGGGTGGTAAATCCATTTTTATAATTTAGTCCGCTGAAGGAAGAGAGTGGGGGGGGGGGCTATTGACGTAATGGCGATTTTTTATTCCTTACAATGAGTGTCAGTTTGAAAAAAACGTATAAATTATATATTTAAGTTATGAATTCCTCACGACACTACCTCCCGTTTTCAGACTACACTGCTTGCTACGTCCAGTCTCTCGTCCACGTTCACTCCCCCTACCCTAAAAAGGAGCAGCGAGAACTAACTCCACAATCTGATCTTGCACAATCCCCCTTAGCAATCACATCTCCCCTCAGCAATCACATCTCCCCTCAGCAATCACATCTCCCCTCAGCAATCACATCTCCACTCAGCAATCACATCTCCACTCAGCAATCACATCTCCCCTCAGCAATCACATCTCCCCTCAGCAATCACATCTCCTCTTAGCAATCAAATCTCCCCTCAGCAATCACATCTCCCTCCGCAATCACATCTCCCCTCAGCTATCACATCTCCTCTCAGCAATCACATCTCCCCTCAGCAATCACGTCTCCCTCCGCAATCACATCTCCCCTCAGCAATCACATCTCCCCTCAGCAATCACATCTCCCCTCAGCAATCACATCTCCCCTCAGCAATCACATCTCCCCTCAGCAATCACATCTCACCTCAGCAATCACATCTCCCCTCAGCAATTACATCTCCCTTCAGAAAAAAAAACGCAACTTCTCACGCCCCAAAGCCTTTCATACCAAATATTCACGCTTCTAAATATCATTCATAAAAAATGGATTAGTTCTAAAATGCTACGAACTTAACAGAGGCCTAAAAAAATGGCCTTACCTCTTAAAGAGTAGTAGCGTTCAAAATATAATTTCCAATAACTACGCTAAATGATATATAACATATATTTTTTTAATAACGCGACTGCGTTTGGTGCGTCAAATTTTCCTTTCGGAAATGAAATCGTCTCAATTTAAGTATTGTGTATAAAATATTCGGTTTAAAAGTGGTTGGGACATGAGAATATTAATATAGTTCATGGGCGTGAAATAAAGAGTGTGCAGTGACGTATGATGGGGGAAGGGCTGTAGCAAATATTGGGATTCTCTTAAATGTGCGTTACTTGAGTTCACGGTTTTGTCAAGTAACTTTACTAGATGGGAAGTTCACGCATTACTGTCACCAATGTTTGGCGGGCTCTATCTAGTCTGAAAAAAATTCCCGTGCTCTAAAAAAAATAAAACAAAAAGAATTGTAACTAAGAATATTTCTCTACCCTCCTCCGCTAATTGCATGTGATTTAAGACGGTCCACTCTTGGGGCGTACCAAATGTTTGCAAGGCTGTGTCAACTGGGTGATCACAGGTTTAATTCCCCCATCGATACCGCCTCTCCCCCCAAAGAAAAAAAGGTGGTGGGGGGGGGAGGAAAGCCTTGAACGGAATTGTACTCCATTTGCCCCTAAGGTAGAAAGAATTGCAGTGCCTGTTTTAACAAAGAGATTCTGCATTTTCACCATTAAACTTAAAATAGATTTTTTTCTGTGTTGAACAAATTGGAAAATTTAAGAGTGTGAAATTTTAAAATGTTTCCTTTATTAAAATGCCTACCCCCCTTCACCTTCTTTAAAACGGAAAATAATATCCGATCACGGATACATACCCCCCCCCCCCAATCAGATAATCTTCCCCACCCCT